TTAAAAGATCCAGTTGTAAAACAAAAACTATATAAATTTATCCATCTTTTTGTTTTCGGCAGCATGGTGGAAGAGCTGCTGCCTCTCTGCGAGCAGGTCCCTGGTTCAAATCCCGGCTCGGGGCCTTTCTGGGTGGAGTTTGCATGTTCTCTCCGTGCATGCGTGGGTTTTCTCCGGTGCTCCGGTTTCCTCCCACAGACCAAAAACATGCATGTTAGACTGATTGGTAACTCTAAATTGTCTCTAGGTGTGAGTGAGAGAGAGAATGGTTGTTTGTCTCGTTTGTCTCTATGTGTCCCTGTGATGGACTGGAGACCCATCCTGGGTGTACCCCACTTCTTGCACTGAGATTTCTGGACATGGGCACCAGCGACCCCCGTGACCCGAAAAGGAAGTAGCGGGTAAAAGATAATGGATGGATGGATGTTTGTGTTTTAGAAGAAACAAAAGAGTGAAATATCCTGATGCATGCTCAATAATCCAGGTAGAAAAATCCAAAAAAGTTCAATCTGGTCCTCTGGACATTCAAAAAAAAAAAAAAACAAAGCAAAAAAATATAGAAACGTTTCGTCTCTCTTCTGTGCTGGGCCATCCTTTTGGCCAGTGGCTGTTTAGTTTCCCCGATGTAAGACTGATCACCCTCCTGACACTGAACAGCATACACAATATTACTCTGTTTGTGCCGGGGGACTGGATCTTTGGGATGAACCAGTCTTTAATGTATTTTGGGGTTTAAAAGCCACTGGGACGTTATGTTTAGGAAATAAACGTCTCAGTTTCTCTGATACTCCCTCAACATATGGAATGACCACTGGTCTGGGTCTGGGTTCCTCCTTTTCACCTGTTGGCTGACTGGAGTCCTGTTTGGGTTTCTTCTCTGCTTTTAGGAAGGCCCAGTTAGGATATCCACATTGCTCTAGAACCTGTTTTGTGTAGGATTTCTCCTTCTGCCTGGCTCCTGAGCTAGTGGGGACGCTGTCTGCTCTGTGGTACAGAGTCCTGATGACTCCTAACTTGTGCTCCAAAGGGTGATGGGAGTCAAACTGCAAATACTGGTCTGTGTGGGTGGGTTTGCGGTACACCTCAGTTTACAAATATCCTCTATCAGAGACTGAGACCTCACAGTCCAAGAAAGCCAACTTGCCATTTTTTACATCTTCTCGTATGAACTTGATGTATTTATCCACAGAGTTGATGTGGTCAGTAAAATGTTGGACTTCCTGAGATTTAATGTTAACCCAGGTGTCGTCAACATACCTGAACCAATGACTTGGTGGTGTCCCTGAAAAGGACGTCAAGGCTCTCTTTTCTACCTCCTCCATGTACAGGTTGGCAACAATAGGAGAAACTGGAGACCCCATAGCACACCCATGTTTCTGCCTATAATATTGCTCCCCATATGTGAAGTAGGTTGACTGCAGGCACAGTTTCAAGAGTTGACACAGTTGTTCTGTAGAAAGCGTGGTCCTGCTGCTCAGAATGGTGTCTGATTTTAATTTTAAACTGACCACCTCTACTGCATCATCAACAGGAATGCACGTAAAGAGTGATGTGACATCAAAAGAGACCATTGTTTCATCAGTCTCCATGATGACATCCCTCACCTTGTCCACAAAGTCCATGGTGTTCTGTATGTGGTGTTCTGAGCTGCCAACTAAAGGGATGAGTACAGACGCCAGATATTTGGAAACATTGTAAGTGACAGAGTTAATCATACTAACAATAGGTCTTAAAGGTACACCTTGTTTGTGGATTTTAGGTAAACCATACAGACTAGGTGTGGCCTCCCCTGGGTACAGTCTGTGGTACAGAAAGCGGTCAATAGCCTTGTCCTGCTCCAAATTTTTCAGGCAATCTATTAACTTTTTCTTGTAACCACTTCCTGGATCTCTTTTCAGAGGTTCATAAGTGTTTAAGTCACTAAGGAGTGTCATAACTTTCTCATGATAGTCTTTCTGGTTCAAAATCACTGTGCACCTTCCTTTGTCTGCTGGGAGAATGATGATGTTTTTGTCCTTGCTAAGAGTGGTGAGTGCATCCCTCTCCTCTCTACTGATGTTGGAAGGTGGTGGTTTGGCATTGCTGAGGCAGGATGAAACTTTGATTCTGAGCTGTTCTGCTTCAGCCTCTTTCCTTTTGTTGTTGCGGATGGCTGATTCTGTGGCTGTGATCATCTCCACCAGAGGAATTCTACTTGGTGCAACCGCAAAGTTCATTGCATTGACTATTCTTTGTAAAAAATTTAAAAAAAGACTGAAAGATTATGTTGTACCAAATAGAGATTAAGATTTGTATGGAAGAAGAGTTGTTTCTGCTAGTATCATCTGACAGGGAGGAGAAATCCAGCAGAACGCAGCAGAGAAACATGACTTCATCAAGTGTAAACATCTCCAAGGTGGGACGGACCATTCTAGGTGTTGCTGACCACACCCACTGTAGTCAAAAACACAGAACAGTTCATCTTAGTCCATCTCTCCCTCTCACTGCAAGAGGTATCCCTGACTCAGACTCACTGACTCACAGGGTTGAAACCCCACTACAACAGAGAATTTCACGCATACAGCGTGATCCGTCAACACTGGTGAAGGAACCAGACACTTAGCAATCAGGAGACATCATCATCAAAAAAAAAGAAAAAAGGAAAATAAGGGAGAAAGAAGAAAGAAAGCTTTACAACATGAGTGAACCAATGAAAAAGTATGAAAAAAGGAATAGAGAAGCTCAAAGTATCAGAAAGAAGCTAAAAAGAGCCTAAGGCAGCTAAAATGAGCAAAGAAGAAGCAGAAACCAGCTCTGTACTAAACTAACATTGTATCACTACAGAAACTCAGCAGAGGAGAGAGACACCAAATATTTAACAAACCTAAACTCTGATTTCACAAGAACAGTTCTAGGTATCAAAAAGCTGAAGCATTTAGTGAAAGCTGAATGTCTTATGAATCATTTAAACGTTGAATGGACTTTCTATGTGGAAGTACGCTGAAATAGTTAAAGTTAAAAATAAGATGTTAAAGGATTTCACAGATTCCCAGTGTATTTTCTGTGAGAGAAAATTTGCTGGAAAAGATAATATTTCAATTTTTTTTAAAGATATCAAAACTAAAAGTCATAGCAGGAGTGTTCTGATACCTTGATTGCTTAAATAGTTTTTTTTAAAAACCTGCGGGGTGAGTCAGATGTAAAAATAAAAAAAGGTACAGAAGACACTTAAACAGGTTCTCAATAATGATGAATGAATTATGATAATGAGCTTAGAGATGCCTCTTCATTACAGTACTACTGTATAAATAATAAGATGAGGGTTAATGCATTAATGGGGGAGTGGTGGCGCAGAGGTTTGAGAAGGTCGGCCTGTGATCGGAAGTCGCTGGTTCGACTCTCCGGACCAACAACATCAAAATGTGGGAGGGAAAGGAGAAGAACCTGCACCTGCTTCCACCCATGGGAGGCTGTGGCTGAGTGGTTAGAGCAGTTGTCCTCCGTTGGGGGTTTGATTCCACCTGAAGTCACACGCTGACGTGTCCCTGGGTAAGACACCGAACCCCTCATTTTCTCCGATGTGTGTCCCATCAGTGTATGAATGGGATCTAAAGCATTGACTATTCTTTGTAGAGATCTAGTATAGAGCTGTATGAACGGGTAAATGAGGCACAGATTGTTGTAAAGAGCTTTGAGTGTCTTGATCAGATAGAAAGATGGTATATCAGTAGAGTCCATTTACCCTCATTTGCCCCACTCTGGGCCCTTAACCCCCACTATCTGCTCCCAGACAGGTCTGTGTTGAAAATGAGTCCTCGTCGTGACTCAATAAAGATTGAATGGTTAATAGAAAAACAGCTGTCTGGGGAAAGCTTAGTTTTGTTTTTCTTTACATTTTCAGTTTTGTTTATGGATTTTATGATTTACTCCTTGTTTTTTGTTTTCTTTTATCCTGACCCCACCTGGGAGAGATGCTGAAATGCACCATAAGATCATCGTCAGAAAGGCACTGAGGCAGAGTGATGTTTCCCCTTTGATTAAACAATTTTCAACTGTTTTTTTTTTTTTTTTTGCCTGGGGGGGTGGGGTGTTTCCATCACATGCAGAAAGCATCCTTGATTGCAAGAATTGATATTAATAATGTAATGAAAAATCCATAAACGGGGAAATGTTTGATCATTTTTGTTATGAATATTTTTATTATATTATGGCTGGGATAGCTGAGAACATCTTTCTGTAATGTGTGCACAAAACATTCTCTTCTGTCCATCTGGAGGCCGACTCACCGGCAGCCATGAATCATGTCTGTGCGTCTGACTGCAGCTGGCTATGAGGGAAAAATAATTCTGTAGCAAATGCTATTTGACGTTGTTTCAGTGAAAAATATATATTTTCCTGCCACGAGTGGTTCTTTTATTTAGGTAAGTAAAGAGAGAATATTTTCTCCAACATTACACCTGGACTGTAGTAACCCCATGTGGACCACTGAACCCACACTTGGACCACTGAAACCACACCTGGACAACAGAAACCCCACCTGGACCACATAAATCTCACTTGGACCAGAGAAA